CTATTCATAAGTTATCAAATGAATAGTAACAAAAAGCACATATGTTCTATTGTATCTTAAGGTGCTAGAAAATATTCAAATTTTTAATGTCAATTGCTTGGTTGATTAAAAAATGTTTCTCTTCAAAGAATCAAAAGGCCAAATGCATCTGTTATACCTTTAAAAATATTTTATTTAATTTATTGTAGCACAAGAGTATGTAGCATGTTAAGTATTAATAAGGAGCTGCTATTCTTTTTTATTTGATTTTATTAATAAAAATGCAGAAGACAACATATATAGTGTTTATATTTACTTAGATATTTAGATATTATCATAAGATGGAATGTATATACAGTGAGAAATAAAAAAGTATAATTTTTAAAACAAAATATACTATGAAATCTTGACTTTATTAGAATTTAGTCTCTGTAAACCTTTAGGAACTAACTCAGTTTATAGCTGACTAAGCCTTAGAAGTCTGGTCAGTTTGTCAGTTTTAGAGCATTCTAATTTCTGACATAGCATAGCTTTGTACTATTAAGAATACTATCTACATGAAAAATCATATTTTCTGGATACCCTGGAAAACTGGTTAGTATTCAAATACTATTAAGTAAATTACTGAGTTCAAATAAATAAACACTGTAAGAATACAATGCCGTGTCTTGGTAAATTTATGTCTATAACACAATTAAACTTAGAAAGCTTCCTTTTAAATTTAACTTGCAAATGACAATGACACATATTCTGGCCTATTTTAGAAATACTTAAAACATTTTCTTCTTTTTAGTAATCTGTTAATATCCTTAACATCAGATTTTCCAATTCTTAAAGGCTCTACCCAATTCAAAATTACCTTCAACTAAACATTTTGCCTCAGATTTAATCTAGCTTTGAACTAGCTTTGTTTTGGGATTTTGTTGTTGTTGTTGTTCTCCGGTCTTTTTACTATTTTAAAACAACCTAGTATCGGATCCCAGCCCTTTTCTAATTTTTAATGTTTTTGTACACTTCACAGAAAACTGTGATTACACAATGTTTGGCCTCATTTTTTTTTTCTATCTTGACTACCACATACCAAAACCCTGCTTTTTCCTGATCAGGCCTCCTGTTTTTTGCTTTTGCCTTTTTTCCCCCCACCTAACTGTGTATAGGAATCTCCTTTATTTTGATTATGAAGGACATACTATGACTTTCTTTTCCTTCATACAACAGGTCAAAATTCCATTTGGTTCACAGACCTTTACTAATAAGCACTAACTTCCCTGCTTTCAATTTCTTTCAACTCTCAGCTAATCTTACTCCTTGACTTGAGTCAAAACTGCTTTTCATATTCCAGATAAACTTTTATTCCCAAAATAAAGGCTATTCTCTCTTACTCAGCATCTTTCAATATTTAAAAGGTATCAGAAAGTCCAATGTTTTCTAGATACTCCGTCCAATGAAGCACACTAACAAGTAGGGTTATTCATCTTCCTATTTCCTTCTTTTTCGTCAATTAAATTGCATCTTATTCTTTTGGGTTATTGCTTGAATATGCAGGTATTCTTCGTTGGAACTACACTTGAAGTTCTTTCTTATGCTAGCTTATTACCATAACCATCTTTCCGGTTGAAGTACTGTAATGGAAAGAACAGAGAAGCATCTTTGCTCCAGAAATCTATTGAATATGTATACATCATTTCACATCTTACAACACATTGTCTTGATCTATATTCACCTTATGAAGGTAGAGCCGCAAGCCCTGTTTTAAGTGGAAGGGTCTGAGCTGCAGCACCATTCAAAGGGACGGACTTTGGGAGCAGCGAGACTAGTTTGAATTATTATTATAATGTTTATACCAGTGTGACTCTGGATAAATTTTTAATATCCCTAAAGTTAAAGTGACTCGTGAGATAGGGACAGCAATAGGCGCTTGATAAAGTGCATGTAAAGAGCATCGCATAAAGTGGACTGCTTGACTGAGCACTGACAAATAGCAACATGTTAAGGGATTTACCCAAGGAACACTGAGAATATGCAAGGACTTGAAACCCCGCATTTCAGACTGCCAAATCTGTGCTTCCCCTCTATTCCTGTTTCCTACTATACAGATCTAATGAAACGATTCATCTGAAGGCTGACCTTGAGCAAAAACACTGAACGGAGTCACTTAACTCATCTGTAAACTCAGTCCTGCAGACTTTGTCTGTTGCAACCAACACTACATTTTTGATTTTTCTGTACTCTCTGAGGTTCAGGTTCGTGACACAGAACCTGTCCGTAATGACAGTAAAAATAAATGAATAAATAAATATAAATGCAGATTGCATTGAATTTCATCGTCAGCTTCGCAGTACACGCATTTACTCTTGGGTGACCCCCTCGCTCGTTTTGTCTTTGGGTTTTTCTGTCTATGAGCGTGTCTCGTCAAGACGAGACCCACAAGCCTAACTTCATTCCGGTGTATTCCGGGGAAGATCTTTAGGTGATAAGAGAACTCTTTCAAGTTTCCAAAGGGATGCCATACAATCTGATGCTCCAAATTCTGGTTAGGTGAAACCGCCGGGTCGGCAAGCGCCCGAGTGGGATGCTTAACTATACTGTCCGTCGCCTAACTCTTAGGAAGGAACGCGAACGCGTCTCGTGCGAAGTGCCGGGAGCACACGAATGAAGGTTCTGCTCCCAGCCTTGACGCTGTCCCCGCCGCACTCCACGGTCACTCGAATGCCCTTCCCCGTCTAGCCCAAATTGTCGCTCGGGTCCCAGCAGGACCGCGATTGCACCCCGCCCCTTCACTCCCGGTCCTCTCCAAGTTTTCTGATTGGGAAGGGGCTGGGGCGCCTTCCGCACTTGTCCCTTTTATTGGCTGGCACGCTTGTCAGTAATCTCGCCTCCCGCCTTCCCAGCCTAGCGCGTTTCTCGGACCCTTCGGTTTCCGCGACGAGTCGTTTAGGTTTGCCTGAGCGGCGTTGCCGGGGACCCGCGACCTTTCACCCCTCCCTTCCCACCGGAGTGCCCGGGCGCCCGGCCCCGCCTCCGCGGCCCGCGCGCGCCTCCGCTGCGCCCCGGGCGCGCGCCCACACGCACGCGCGTCTCCTCTCCCGGGCTCCCCGCATCTTCCCACCCGCCCCCCCCTTCCACCACCCCCTTCCTCCCCCTCCACCCCCCCCCCCCGCCACACTGCTTCGGCGGGGCACCCCCACCCCCACCCCCTCCACCCCCGCAGGCTGAGGCATCGGCGTGGTTGGGAGGCGGCGGCGGCGGCGGCGCTGCTGAGAGGCAGGGACCCGAGCGCGAAGTGTGTGGGAGTCTCCGAACTCAACCCCTCTCTCTCTTTCGCTCTCTCGCTCTCCCCTCCCCGCGCAGCCATCCCCCTCCCTCCCCGCCAGCCCCCCCCCCCCACTCCCCCACAAGCGGGAGAAATAATGAGCGAGACCGGGCGGCAGCAGCAGCAGCGGCGGCGGCGGCGGCAGCAGCAGCAGCAGCAGCAGCGGCGGCAGCAGCGCCGAGCAGCCCCGGCCACGGCAGAACCGCTCGGGCAGCAGCAGCAGCAGCAGCAGCGGCGGCGGCGGCGGCCGCACCAGCGGCGGGAGCGAGCGCAGCGCTAAGCGCGGGGACCGCCGCGCTCCTTCCCCGGCTCCTGCCCTCCTCCGCCGCTCGCTCTCTCCGCAGCCACCTCCTTCCCCTCCTCCTGCTCATTCACTCTTTCCCTCACTCTCCCCTCCTCCTCCTCCTCCTCCTCCTCCTCCTCGGCTTCTCCCCGCGCCCCGCCAGCCCTCGCGTCTCCCACTCCCTCTTCTGCCCGTCCTCCCCGCTCCCTCCTCCCGCGCCTCCACTCGCCCCTCTCCCTGCTCCACTCTCTTTCCCCCTCTCTCCTTTCTTCTCCTTCTTGCACCCTCCGTCTCTCACACCCCCTCCATTCCCCGCTCTCCTTCCTGACACTGCACTGCAGCTGCTCCTCGGCCCAGCCCCCTCCTCAGTCAAACCAGCAACATTGCTTTTTTTTTTTTTCCGAAAGGGATTTCTATTGATCCGATTATAAAAAAAAAAACCTTAAGATAACCCAAAAGCCAAAAAAAAAAAAGCCAAACAGCCAAAAAAAAAAAAAAGAAAGAAAGGAAAAGAAAAGAAAAGAAAAAAAGAAAACAAAAAAAAGGAAAAAAAAAGCCAAACAAAAGGGAGAGAAGAACCTTCTCCCCCCGTAGCAGCGGCAGGAACTGCAAACATGATGGCGGCAGCTCCTATCCAACAGAACGGGACCCACACGGGGGTGCCCATAGACCTGGACCCGCCGGACTCGCGGAAAAGGCCGCTGGAAGCCCCCCCAGAAGCCGGCAGCACCAAGAGGACCAATACGGGCGGTGGGTATCGCTTCCACCTCCCCGCCAGCCCCATCCCCCGCCGCCCGCCCCGGCCTCCCTCCCGCCCGCCCGCCCGCCGCGGCGCCCTCCCAGCCAGCCGCCCGGACAGCTCCGGGCCGGAGCGGGCGGCCCGCGCGCCCCTGCCCCACGCCCCCTGCCCGGCACCTGCCCCGCGCCTCGCGCCGCCCCGACACCTTTTTCCCTTTTCGGGCTTTTTTTTTTCCTTTTTCCTTTTCTTTTTTTTTATCATTCATCAAAATGGCGACCGGTTTTTCGGACTAGATCTCTCTTTTTTTCCTCCCCCCTTGGCTTTCCTTGGGTCCCCCCAAGCTGACCCTTTAAATACCCTGGACCTGGGCGGGGTGGGGGGTCCGAGGAGGAGGAGGAGGAGGTGGAGGAGGAGGAGGAGGAGGAGGAGGATGCCCCCCGCGCGAGGAGGTGATGGCCGTCCCGGAGAGGCGCGCTTGCCCGGAGCAGGCTGCTCAAATAAATAAATAAATAAATGGCACTCGGGTAGCGGAAAGCAAATGATTGGGGCGCCCCGGAGTTGTCTGGTTCCCCCCCCACCTTCCTTCCCCCCTTCTCTATCCCCTTGCTTTGGGCCACAAGTAGTATGCACAGCCTGGAGGAGTGCAGGCTTCTAGCGCACTTGGATGATCGGGGCAGATAAGCTCATTGATTTGTCTTTAGGGGTGTGCGTGCGAGGGTGGGGGTGTCTGGGACGGTGACTTGTTAGTTAACATCCTGCGCTTTCCTGGGAAGATGAGTTATAACGGGACCGGACTCGCTCCTTCATGTGCACTGGAGTCATCTTAACAATGCACCCAATGCATCGAGGCAGAGGTGAATTTATCCCGCGTGTGCATTAGAGACGGATGGGGGGTCTTGCGAGTGGCACGCCCGCAAAAAAAAAAAAGGAATTGGGGGAACGTTCATTCGCACGAGGAAGCTGAATTTCCCGGCGCGTTTTCCTATTTAAGACAGCATCAGTGTGACGGAATTGAAAGTTTCTGGAGTTGGCTTGCTTTTCTAAAACCGTCTCGTTTCACTCTTTTCTGGGTTCACTCTTTCCCGGATGCCCCTCCGTTGAAAAAACAAAACAAAACGGTGGTTATTTGGGAGAAGGAGCATTTAGCTGCTGGGTCACTTTTAAGCATCTTTTGAGAGAAAGGACTCCTGAGCTTTTAGCGTTGGCAAAAATTCTTCTTCAGGTCCTTTAATTAATGAGCTTAACCAATATCTTGATAGTCTAAGAAGTGCTGAAGAAATACACCAGGATGAGTTAGATTTGCCAATCCATACTACTTTGAGTATTTCCTGGCAGTTACTGAAGGTTTGGAATACACCCACAGTTTGGGTGGATTATTTGGTAGGAGAATGATTATTTTGCATACTTTAAATAGGATATAGGCAATGCCTAATTGTAATCCTTCTGTGTTCAATACTGTTAAATAAATTTGGCTCATGACTGTTTACATTACTTTCAGTTTTTTTTTTTTAACAATACATGAAGTGAAGGTTTGCTTGGTACAAATCTCAGAAGTTTCATTCAAGGGCCAATTCATTTTGTTTTACATAGTAACCACAGATGGAATTGGAAGACTTCCATGTTTGGAATAACAACTGGAATTTAGTCATCAGTTTCCACGGTTCTGCAAAATAATAGAGCATGCTTAGATTTTAATTCCAAGTTTTAAAGTGTATATCTTAGAAAAAAATTGTAAAGACTAATTTTTCTCATGTAATTTGGCGTAATCTTGTTCTTCAAAAAATGTTTTAACCCCATAATACCTGCAGCTGCACGCCCAATGCTTTAATTGCTGTTTTTCTTTCATGAGGTGGTGGGGAGATACAAGGTTTAAACATAGCATGTTAACGGAAATATATTTCTTTGCATTTTTCAGAAGACGGCCAGTATTTTCTAAAGGTTCTCATACCTAGTTATGCTGCTGGATCTATAATTGGGAAGGGAGGACAGACAATTGTGCAGTTGCAAAAAGAAACTGGAGCTACCATCAAGCTGTCTAAGTCCAAAGATTTTTACCCAGGTAGGTGCAATGATGAAGAGATTGTTTGATAAATCCCCAGGGAGAGGAGAGCGGAAAGAGTTGTGTGTGGTGTGTGCCGTCTTGAAAAGAAATTCTCAGTAGTGTAGACTGTTTTAATTTCTGTATTGACTGGATTAGAATATTTGTGGAAAAAATTAATAATATTTCTATTGTTGATTATATTCTGTTCTTGTAATCAATAAACTGAATGGTTTAGGCCAATTGTGATATGAATCTTTCGGATGTGTGGAAATACTTCTTACTTATTAAGAAAACTTCAAAATTTAAAGATAGAAACGTGGACAGCTGGCATCAGGAAATAGGGTTCTTCTGAAGTTTTCAGACATCATTGTAATGACAATTAGTCTAGAATGAATTCAGAAGGGGGGGGAGGAAAGCATCTTAAAGGATGGACCATTTACTTCTGAAACCATTATGTACCTTTTTCTGCTTCATTGCTTTGTTTGTTGGCTCTAGAGTGAAGAGAACAAGTGCTGTCTCTTCAGATTTTTTAAATACTGATTTTTTTAATGTAAATGTGATAAAAGATATTGTATAAGAAGTAAAATAGTGCTTCAAAATGTGTTACATATGTACTGCATTTTCTTAAAATGTTAACAGTGTATGGTATTGTAACCTAGAGAAATATGGCAAGTTTCTAGGTGGTATGACTGTAATTTTGTAGTTTTCAGTGTTTTTTCCCCCTATTGCAAATGACACAATTCTACATGTCCATTTTATTTATTTTTAAAATCATTTTGTTATTCAACATAACAGGTTTTACTTTTAATTGGAAAATCCCATAATTAAATAGTGTATCTTCTAAACCAAACATTCATTGATTTGCTTTTACTTAGATGCATCTTCTGCCACCTGGGGGGCAGGGGGCATATTTTGTCTTTATGACCAAAAGAAGTGTTAATTCAGTGCTGACGGGACCAGTACTGCTTTCCCTCCACCCTGATGGAAATGAAAAGCTGCTTTTCTTTCACTATCTAGTTCAGTTAGAGTGCCTTAATACAGCAAAGACTTTGGCATGAATGTAAGCAGGATATTTGGAGGATTTCTTTTTTAATAGCCAATCAATTGTTTGGCGATAGAAAAAGAACCATTATGCCCAATAAGGTGTTAGAGTTAGAAATCATCATTTATATACTACATAAATTAAATGTATATTTGATAACCATTAAATTTATAAGACTAAAATGTGATCTGTTAGATATGCCATCTTTTGAAAGTTTGTTTTGAGAGTAGTTTTGTAGATAGCGTTCCTTTTCTTTAAAACTTTCCTTATGCATTAAGAAAGTTGGCTTAACATATTTACGTTCATATATACAAAAGGCATATTATGATAAAAAATCAGTTTGGAATTGTGAAAACTCTTTATACAAATAAAAGCACTCAAAAGAGCTTGATTGCAGAATTAATAACGTGATAATTTTAGGAAGAGCTGCAATGGTAAATTAGATTCACTGTCAATAGATGAAAATGAAATTGCTTTTTTTGCATTTATATATGAGATGGTATCAGATGTTCAGGGTTATTATAGAAAATTGGTGTTTATCAAGGGTATTCCAAATAGTAAATTAAATGCCTTTCATTTCAATATAGTTTATTTTCAGTAGGTTGGAAAGGGTGCACAGAGAAATGGTTCTTTTGTTTTTAGTCTACTTAGTTCTGCATTTCTTTCTTACACTATCGAAATTACTTTATGTATAGTTGTCAGGGATGTTGGTCATACAGTGCAAGAAGATAGTTGGGAAAAAGTGGAAAATAGAATGCTTTGAATGAAATTTTGTGTGTGTAGTGACGTAACCTGATGAAATGTGAGTTGAAATGTCTGGATAAAGGAAGACATACTCCCTGTAACAGGTGGAAGCCAATCGTACACCATGGGATCAGTTTTAAAGATAAAATAAAGCTTTGTAATATATAAGAAGCTTTAATAATTTTGAACACTTTGTGTTAATATACTTTTAAATTAGGATACTACCTGTTTGGACAGATCTCTCTCTTCTTATAGACTTTAATTTTAATGTCTTTCTGGTCCTGTTTGACTACAATCCTGTGGAATTTTCTAAGGATGTGGTATTCTTCAACCTAGAGCCCCTGTGAGCTCCCTTTAACTTCTTTTACTCAGATATTTCTTAGGGATACCTACCTTGCTCTAAACTTTGATTTGTTTTGTCCAATTACAATTATTTTCGTGGAAGGTTAACTCAAAGTTGTTTTTTTTTTCATAATATATATCTATATATCTATAGGCTCATTCTATTAGCATGAAGATAACTGATTACTTCTTGAAGTTTTTTTCTGTTTATAATTTGCTAAGAGGATATTCAGGGGAAAGTATACTTTAGTTGCCCTAACCTAATGAATTTATTCAAATTACGATTTGAAACAATGTAATTATGTTCATTAGGTTTAGTTTAAGTACTGTGTATTTGAGAAAAACTTTCTTCTGGATATATAAGGCAGAGTGCAGACATACTTTGGGGATTATTTTAATAGGTTTCAATTCAGATGATAGGTTCATTGTTTTTATTGTGGCCAATAAGATCTCATATTTATCTATATTTTTATAACTTTTTTTTTTTAGCTCTGATCGTATCTTTAAAGTATTGTAAGCAACCTTGCCTCCTTGAGTAAATTTTTTATAAGTCTGGCTAAAATGATGAAAGTATTTTGCACATTAAGTAGTGTGAATTTAGACTTCTTACAACGGTATATTATGTATTTCAGGTTGTCATTTGTTAAATCATCTGGGGAAAGTGTATGAGAAGAACTATAAATCCCATTTTAAAAAATTATTGTAGTGGCAGAGAGAAAAAATGTCTATTAGGTTTTACTTTTTACTGTGTTGCATAACTCATTTATCTAGTTTAAAGAACCTAATTCTTAATCAAATACTAATTTATTACTAGTGGTTCATAAATTCTTTTCTCTTAACTTGAGTAAGGCAACCTAATTTTGTTTTCATATTATCCTCTTTATAATTAGGTTACATAGAGTTGTTGCCTTGTAATAAAATAAAAAACAACTTTCACATTCTGAGAAATATATTACTGTATGCATTTTCAGAATGGCTATAGTTTTTTTTCCCCCGTTTTACTTGGCATTTGAAGATATGTGTAGATTTTGTTAGAAAGTAGATTGAGTTTATGTTAAAATTATTTAATGAATGGTTCAGGTAGTTGGAAAAGCTTATTTAATTGTGATTGAGAGTAGTAAAAGATATATAGAATAAATATATTCACATGTGCCTTAGATTTTAGCATAGCATACCTATGTTTATTCTATTACATGATACTAAAGATATTTATTATATCAAACAGGAACCCTTCACTATACTTCTGAAAAATGTTTGTGTTTTACAGCTTTCATATTTGTATTTTAAAACTAGATCATGTTTAATACAATTTCCTTTCTGGATTGTAAGTTAAAACTTTTATTTCTTTATTTTGTCTTAATTTTATTACTGTCCAAACATGGATGATGGCTTTTTGTTAAGTTAGAGACCACTTTTGTATTAAATTTTTAAAAACAGTAAGTAGTGTAAGTGAATTTTTCTTTTAGTGAAGAAAATGCCCTACACTATTTTAGTTTTAACATGGAAAAATCTAATGGCTGGTTTAACCTTTATGATTTAGATTGTTTTAGAATGATTTTTTTTAAAATCAGAAGTTGATGAAGTTTAAAAATAGATAACTTTTTTGTTTACATCATTTAAGGAAGAGTTTTAGATATTTGAATAATGGGAATGCTTCTTTAAAACTTGTAATATATACTCTTTGATCTTTGATGTAAAGCATCTAAGAAATTTATTTCAAGGTGAAACTAGTAGATAACTTGAATCGCACATCTAGAAAATAATATAATTCCCGGAACTGTTAGTTGAATAGGCTAGTTAGTGATACATTGTATTATATCTTTGATTTTAATATGCTAAAATAATTACTGACACAAAATTTTTTGTTTAATTTTAAGATTGTAATATTTTGTACTTGTTATGTCTCCTATTATTTTGGTTTACTTTATGCTTTTTCTCTGTCCTTAATTAAAGGAGGGAACCATAATCTTCTACTTAGATATTTATTTTTCTCTTATAAGTGCTTTAATTTTATTTCTTATACTTTATTTAAGCAGCGGAAATCATCAAAGGACTGATACTATTATAGCATAGTCTATACAAAAAGTACAGTTTCTGAGAGATAATTTTTATATTTGTAAAAGCAAATATTTTGTATGAGATTTCATTAACAGTAAAATCATAGCTATTCATCTATTTCTTTTTTTATTTAACTTGGTGTTTATATCATTCATTAGCAATTTGGTAACCTATGGAACACCATTCATTTCTGTTTTGGTGTTTATGTGAATTATATGCCATGATGTCAATTTTGAAGTTGCTGTTTGAAGCTTCAAGGATTTTGAGAAAGTTAACATTTTGTGACATTGTAAGAAAATAGAGTATATCTAACAACATTACTTAGTTATATTATGATAATAGATTTAAGGAATAGTTTAAAACATAGTGAACACAATTAGTGGGAGAGTTTAATATTTATATATTGAAGATGTTTTTTATAATATACATACAGGGAAAGAGGTCTGTGTCTTGGGAACACTAAGGAGTATGGGATATCACAAAAATATGAGCAAAATAAAATCTTTTTTATGCTATAGCTGTTTATTATGTTTTTATGGCTTAAGAGAATTAAATTTTAAAGCTCTTAGCTGACACAAGTCACACTTACTGAACACATCTGTGTCACTATTAACTGAAACTTACCTAATAAACCTTAAAAAAAAAAAAACCCAAACAAAAAAGTGACATACTCGGTGGCTTCCACTTTAGTAGAGCTCTGTTTTAAAGCACAACTTTTATGAGCAAGTGCAGCTTTTCGAAATAAAATTGGGGGGACAAGGATGGGGAGATTTGTGCTTGATTGCCATCTCATTTCCATCTTTGGATACAGCTCTAGCATAAAGTTAAACAA